TGGTCCGGCTGGCCGGGTCCTCCGTGCGCGCTCGACCGCGCCCGCTCGGCGGTGCTTTGGCCCGCTCGGGGGCCCGGGGCTGGTTCCGGGGCCAGAGAACTCCGGCCTCCTGCGGGGGTGCCCACATCCGCCTGCTCCGGGGCAGCGACAGGCCCCGGGGAGACTGTGGGAGGCCCGGGGCCGCCTGTGCATGGGCCGGGCGTCCCTTTACCCTCCTCCTCCTGGGAATCCGGGAGGCACGGACGGCCGCCGAGGCCCAGGGAGGAGGCGGTGCTCCGTGGCGGAAGGTTTGGAAGCGGGAGGGCAAATGGTAGGACCCAGTGAACTGCGGCCGGATTTGTGGGGCTGGCCCTCAGCGCCCCCATCTCGCGTAGCTGGGCAAGGGCCCTCCTTAGATCCAGTGGCCCGGGAAAACGACCCCTGGAGGGGTATTAGGCTGGAAGATTTCTCTGAGCATCAACCCTTAGCCTTGATCACCCTTCGGAGTGAAGAGACACCTGTGCCCAACTGAGTGAGCTATGAGGGTAGTGCCCTGAAAGGTGTAGGCAAGTGGGGGCTGCAGGCTGTGTACTGAGCGGTAGGGAGGTGGGAAGCTGAATGTGTGGCCCCCGGGTCTGTTAGTGCTGAGAACCGGGGCAAATCTGGCAGCTGAGCTGTCTTTCCACCACTACCACAAGTTCCCGGCCAGTAAGTTGGAAGAAAACCTGGGTCCTGCAGGTCACTGAATGTGCCCCACTTCCTTCCCACTGGCTGCCAGTTTGGGGCCCTTAACTGTCCTTGCTGGCTGTCCAGTATTCCCCAAAGCCTCTGCATCTGGCGTTGGCTGGCCTGCTGCTGCTTAACTATTCCCTTCCCACATCCCAACTCAGCATCTGCTTGAGGCCCAGCTCTGCCTGCCAATTTTCAGGGTGATAATAGGACATTGGCCCTCGGTGGCCCTGATGGGAGCGCGACATCTGGAATCAGGAGCGAGTGCCCCAGACTTTTACATAGACTTATGGGACTTTGCTCAAATTCCTTGCCCAACCATTGGAGATCATGACTCTGCTTGGTTTCTCCCCTCTAACTTGTACTTAGGTGCCCCGTTTCTTCCCAAGAGACTCCAGTAGGCTGCCAGACATGCCTCCCCTTTATGCCAACCCTCTCCCGCCTTCCCAGCCTCTTCTCCAGCCTCTTCTCCAGCCGCTGCTAATCATCCCTTTTCACCTCCTTGCTCCCTCATTTCCTTGACATCTCCGCTCAAAAAACTAAGTCATTCTCTTCCTTACAGTCACTCCTGAGGGAAACTGAGGCACAGAGCAGTTCCACGGTGTGGTACCCAGATAAGTGAGGTTGGACCAAGTCCTGGACCCGCTGGGACTGGGGCTGGTCCTGGCCCTCTGATGTCCCTCCCAAGCTCGGAGCTGTGCTTTGGAAAGGTTGGAAACTGTGCACCTGAACTCTCTGTCACTCAGTCCGGCTCCTTGGATGGGTATGTCTCTGCGTATCAGGGGCATAAGCTGAGATTTTGAGGCGGAGAAGGTTTTGCACCTAAGCTGGTCACCCCACTTAAGCTCACTCTCCCCACAATTAACATCAAGCTGCTGCGGGGGATCCTAAGTCCCCTTTCCAGAGCTTGGAACCAGAGAGACTAACCCCAAATATGCAGTCAGTGTTCAACAGGGAGCAGGGAGACATTATGTGGGGAGTATTATGTCCTTGCCTTGGGAATAATGGCTGGGCCTGGTGGCTCCGTTGTGATGGGATGGGGAATGAGGACCCTTTTGTAGCTGTAGGCACACTTCCCAGGACTGGGGAGATGAAAACCTGTGATGCCTGTCATCTCTTCCCTGCTTTCTATCCTCCTGGCCTTCCTTGGGGAGCTGGTAGTTCGAAGCTGGCAGAGGCCTGAGAGAAAGATGAGCTGAAGCAAGCCCCAGGGTCACCCAGCCAGGGTGATGGCACCACCCAGACCTTCTGCCTCTGCCAGGGCCCATTCTTGCCCAAACTCTTCCGTAGTCAGATGTGGTCTGGAGCCCCCAGAGGAGTGTGGGGTATTGCAAGGCTTGAGGGCATGCCCCCCTGGCGGCGCCAGCTCCAGGACTACACATTTGTATATGTTGGATTTGTTCACTAGATGGGGCACTTCCTCTGGGGCAGGAAGCCTTGATTTCCTGTGTTGGGGGAGTAGAGACTAGGAGTTGGGGGCCCACCGGGCCATCCCTCATGTTGTTTGGAACCACAGAAGGGCAGAGCTTTTGCTGGAGGCCGTTTCCCTAGTCCAGGGGAGGCAGGAAGGAGAGCCCTGGCTAGGAGGCCCAGGCTAAGGCTGGAGAAGGCTCTGAGTGCCCTGAGATGGGGGTGGGGAACCCAGCAGGAAGCATGGTCAGCAGGTGACCCCGCCGCCGGGTATTGTGTCCCTTAGAATATTTTCCCTGTTTCTGTGGTAACGTTCCGTGGGGGCCTTAGGCCTTAGGGCTGCAGGAAGGTGCTCCAGACAGCCCTTTCCTTAGTGGCCCACGTACTGGGAGTCCCAGGGTCTAGCTACTCCCTAATCCTTTTTGGCTCTGTAGGACCAGGGCCTGGAAATCCAGACAAGTGGTCTGACCAAGCACTGACTGGGGGGGGGGGGGGCTGAGTAGAGGCCCCACAGTATCTCCTGGCAGCCAAGGGAAGAGAAGTAGGCTGGATTTGGGGGAGGGCTCCAAGCAGATTGAAAACACTGACTTCAACTTCTGCCTCCTCTCATCCGGATCTTTCTCTCCCCGGCCTCCTGCAGTCAGTCATTCAAGGGGTGGTGGACAAAGAGCCAGCAGCCTGGGGCAAGGGGTGGGGGTGGCAGAGGCAGGAGGGATGTTTTCATCCACAGAGCATAGCTCCTTTGGTTCTGGACTTGTTCCCAGAGGCAAAATAAATTCAGGATAGCATCTGTTTAGTGTGAGTCTCCATGTGATATGTGTGTGTATGCATTGGGTGTGTGGTGGGTGTCTGTGTTTGCCCAGGGCTGGATATGCCTATGTGGTGGTTCTGTGGCAATCTGTGATCCATGTGCTGGCTCTGTTGGGTGTTTGGGGGTGTGCACACATGTGGCACAGATGTGTGTCTTCTGTGTCTTATGCACCTTTATAAGTTATGGCTCTGTGTGGGGTATATAGAGTTTTAGGGGATGTGAACCTATGTAGAAGCTGTGTTTTCACAGGTGTCCAGATGTTAACCTATAAAGCACCGTCCATGGGTTTCTCTTCTCTCTCTATTCTCTCTCTCTCTCTATTCTCTCTCTCTCTCTCTCTCTAAGACAGGGTTTCTCTGTGTAGCCCTGGAACTCGCTCTGTAGCCCAGGCTGGCCTTGAACTCACAGAGATCCACCTGCCTGTGCCTCCTGAGTGCTGGGATTAAAGGTGTGTGTCACCATGTCCAGCTTCCCCTCCATGCCAGTTACTGGACCAGTTGCTTCAGGGTCATGTGAAGGATGTGTAAAAAAAAACGTCCTCAGGCCCTATTCCCACCATCTGTCAGAGTCTACAGGAGCGGGGTGAGGAACCTGCATTTTAACTTGCTTGGTGGGTAATTCTGGTGCCAGGCTGTGCTGGAAAAGCACAGACCTGGGCCAACCTTTTCATTTATTTTTATGGAGGAGACAGGGTCTGCAGGTGTGTGGTATGTTTGAGGTCACTGGGATATTTAGAGAAAGAACTCAGAAACCACGCAAGCCTCCTAAGGCTGCTCCATCCATGATTGAACGTGGGTACCTGTGTGCACGTTCGTGGCCAGCATGGTGAAGGGGGCCAGGTGGTGCCACCTGGTATTGATGCTGCCTCAGAGTGGCACTGGCTTTTCCTTTGGGTGTCCAGCCTTTCTGGTCTCGTTCTTGTGACCCTGAAACCCCCGAGAATCACGCCGGCGGCCGGGGAACCTCATTTGCCAAGCTGGTCACTCAGCAGTTCATCCGTTTGTTACAGACTTGCAGAGCTCTGTGCCATGCACTGGGCACAGATGTGCAGTGAGCACCAAGGCATGCATCTGTCCTCCGGGTGCTATCACTCTACTGGAGACCGAGAAAGCATGGGTGGGATTGAAGAGGGGAATAGTTACACATGGTGATAAGTCCGACGAAGGAAATGAACTGGGTGAAACAATAAAAAAAAAAAACAAGGTGGGACTTCCTTAGACAGGCCATGGGAGGTCTAAGTGGCATTGACACCTTTTCTCCCCAGACTGGAAGTAAGTCTGCAGAACCTGCTAAATAAACCATGCTTGCAGCCTCCCTGAACCCAGCTGAGGGGTCTGGACTGAGCTCTAGCTGAGGGCTGGAACTGGATGGCCAGCCTGGTAGACAGCGGGCTCTCCTTTCCTCATGGAGCCCCCCCCTCCAGGTTGACAGGGGGGCAGGGAAGCAGGAACAGCCAAACAGGGCTCAGAGGAAAGTTAAGAAGATGGCAGACTCTTGTCAGGAGCTCCCAGGCACCGCCCCTTCCTGACCCTCCTGCCTCCAATCCCTTCCTGCCTTCCCAACCTGGGACCCACTGTGCCTCCAGGTCTCTCCCCTCTGGGTATAGCGGACTGCCTCTGTGGCCACTGG